CAACAGGTCTGGCTCCCTGAGATGTTGGTCCATAGATCTTTTTAGTAGCAGTGAAGAATGCTCTGCTGTTATTAGTGTCAGATAACACCTGCATCTCCATTGCCTTCTGCTTTCACCAGTTGTTTTTCATCTCACGAACTCTTTGCTGCACCTTTGATCTTATTTCATGGTATTGCCGTTTTTTCCCTTCATTCCTGATATCGTTCTGCCAAACAGAGAATCTTCTACGTTTTTCAGCAATTATTTGCACAATCTCTGCGTCATTTTCATCAAACCAGTCCTCATTGTGTCGTTTCTGAATGCCCAATGTCTCAATACATGTTGTTTTGATGGCCTTCTTTAGATCTTCCCAGAGACAATCAACACTGGTGTTTTCTACATCCAACAGCACTTCGCTCATTTTTGATTGGAACTCAGTTCGTGTTTCAGATGAATCGASTCGTCCTAAATTGTACTTAATCCTCATCAGTTTCTTCGACTTCCTCTGTTTCTGGCGGAGGACGAAGGACAAGGTGGAACGGACGAGCCTATGATCGGTCCAGCACTCATCTGATGATGTCATTGTCTTGGTATTGAGAACGTCCTTTTTGTCACGATTACGTACGATGATGTAATCTATCATATGCCAATGTCCTGACCTGGGGTGCCTCCATGATGTCTTTTTCCTATTCTTCTGTCGGAAGAGTGTGTTTGTGATCATATCAGTTGATGTTCCGCACATTTCGTTAGGAGCATGACCCCATTTGAGTTAGCGTTGCCTACACCCTCCTTCCCAATCACATTTTCCCATACTGAGTGGTCCTTGCCTACTCGAGCATTAAAGTCGCCGAGGAGAATGATCTTGTGGTTGCGTGGTATCTGTGAAAGCATAGAGTCAAGTGTGGTGTAGAATAACTCTTTCTCTTCGGGTTCAGCCAATAGAGTTGGAGCATACGCAGAGATTACTGTCGCTTGTTGGTTGGAATTAAGCTTAATACGGAGCGTCATCAGACGCTCATTAATGCCAGTCGGGAACTCCTCCAACTTCCTGGCCAACTCATTTTTAATAGCAAAACCGACACCATGAATGCGTTGTTCGTTCTCCTCTTTTCCTTTCCAAAAGAAGGTGTATCCTGCACCTGTCTCTGTCAGCTGTCCTTCACCAGCGCGACGGGTCTCTTGAAGCGCCGCAATGTCAATAGAGAGCTTACGAATCGACGACCGTTTGCACGACGACGACTTCTAGTGACGTCACCAACTAGGTTGGCGTCGTAAGTGGCGTCGTAATAGAATTTAGCTTACGAAGGTAGCACGACGGCATGCCGAAAACGCGCGTGCGCGTCTACATTAATTTCCCGCCAAAAGGTTTCAATTTAATTGTCATCGGTTTTTTGAGACTTGTAACTGTTGTTTCTTTGTTTTTATGTTTGACTCGTAAAATTTAACAGTTTTCTTTTGAAACACTCTATCCTTTGTTTCCTTGTTTACATGCCGAACTTCAGAGAGACGAGACTTTGTATTTTACATGCTTACCGAAAAGGATTTATTAAGAACAGAGAGTTTGTTTTACTTTACGATGCCTATACTTCAAAAAACCCAGATTTTCCCTATTGGAACTATGACCGTTTAGAGCTAGACTTGTTAACAGATGATGAATGCAAGGCCCAATTTCGATTCTTCAGGCAAGACATCTATAAACTTGCTGAGGAGCTCCAATTACCAGATGAAATTGTAACATACAATGGCTTGGTAGTTGGATCAATTCCTGCTCTATGTATTTATCTGAAACGTTTTGCTTACCCTTGCCGATATGGAGATTTGGTTCCTCACTTTGCTAGGCCAGTTCCTGAACTTTGTATCATTACTAATCACATGATTGACTGGATCTATAACCGCTGGCATCATCTACTTACAAGGTACAATCATACTCTTCTCTCCCCGGCAAATATTGTTTTGTATGCCGATGCAGTTCATCAGTCAGGTGCAGCTTTGGACAACTGTTGGGGGTTTGTAGATGGAACGGTTCGTCCAGTGTGTCGTCCTGGTAGGAACCAGCAAAGTATATACAATGGACACAAACGTGTGCATTCAATCAAATTTCAATCTGTTGCTCTACCGAATGGATTAGTCGGCAACCTTTTTGGTCCAGTAGAAGGCAAACATCACGATAGTGGTATGCTAGCCTCTTCTGGTTTACTGCAAGATCTCCAAAGATTCTCTTATAACCCAATTACTGGCTCAACGATGTGCATATATGGAGACCTTGCTTATCCTTTACGACCACAGCTACAAACTCCTTATAGAGGTGCAGTACTTACACAAAATCAACGAGATTA